TATATATATAGTTAAAAAAAAAGCTGGGCCGGGCCAGGTCGGAGCGGAGCGGGCAATAGATAGGATCCGGACCTGGCCCGTTTTTCAAACGGGGGCAGACCCACCCCGACCCGCTTTACAAATAGGGCAGGCCGGGTCTGTTCCAAATGCTCCGGGTCGGACCAGATCAGATCGGATCAAGGTCGTTTTGTCATCCCTAATATAGACGAGAAGACCAAAGATTGATCTGTGTAGTTGTAGACCCAAGTTTGGATGCGCTCTCCGTTTAAAAATCCCCTCTTCCACTCTTATATATAATTCCCGAATATGCCGAGTTTAAGTGGCAGGCTCGCATGCTTCGGGATCATACGTGTCAAAGTTTTATGGTTCATTATTTGACTTGGATAGATTTTAATTTAATTACATCAACAAACAATTAGGTTCGGATTACCATAAATATGTTGATGTTGATTTATTTATGATCATTTTAGATGTATTAATTGTATTCTAATATTATTTTCTATTATAACCATTGAATTATAAATGTATTTAAAAAGGTGATAACTCTTGTAATTCTTATCAGTTTTACAAATATAATCAAATTAACATCTTTTGATGAGCTTCGATTTGACATCCATATTGTATATATAAAGTAAATAAATTATATTTATTTTTATAATAATAAAAATATTTATTAAAATTAATTAAAAAAATAAAATTATTTCTCAATTAATATATTTATGGTTAATGTAGTTATATGTTATAAGTTTGAAAAAATTATTATAATATAACACAGGTAAGTCACACAAGTAACAAATATCATACTAAAATATATAATAATATTTTTTTATATAAAGTATTTAAATTTTCAACCACTTTTTCTCAATAATTTTAAATTTTAAGAAAATATTTTAGCAAGCACCCGTGTAATACACGAGTGTTGTACTAGTACAAAAAAAAGGGTAAATAATTTTTTCCAACATGTATGATTGGTATGAAGAAATGACATGGGAATGGAATGATCATTCCCTTACTCATTCCTTATCCCATGATTGATATATTTTTTTGAAATGAATGACCATTCCAATGGGAATGACAAAACCCATCTCCATGTGATTAGACATTCCATAGTTCATGAAAGGTTTTCTCATTCCAATGTGTGTAGGAATTATTTTTTCAAAAAATAAAATTAACAAATAAAAATAAAAAATAAATATATAATATATATTATAAATAATGATTAAAATATATTAAATAAAATTATTTTAAAAAATAAAATTCAAATAAGAATATTGAAATCTTACTTTTTTTTATTGTTTAATTAGATATATTAAATACTTATATAAAAATATAAACTAAAAAAAAAGCATTTATATATAATTTGAAAATAAAATATTTTATTTTTCTATAATTAAAAATATATTATTTTTTATATATTAAAAATATATGACTTTGAAAAATATATTATTAAAAATACATTATTAAAAATATTAAAAATATATATTATTAGAAATATATTACTTTTATTTTTATATATTAAAAATATATTATTTTAAAAAAAAATCAAATAAAAAATTGAAAACTTACTTTTATTTATTGTTTAATTAAAAAATAAAAATATATATTATTAGAAACATATTACTTTTATTTTTATATATTATTAAAAATATATTGTTTTTATATATTCAAAATATATTGCTTTTAAGAATATATTATTTATTATCTATAATTTAAAAATATATTATTTATTTTTGTATATTTTTAGAAATATATTATTTTTTAATTATTAAAAATATATTATTTTATTTTTATATATTATTAAAAAAAGCATATATATAATTTATTAAAAAAAGCATATATATAATTTAATAAAAATATATTATTTTTTTTAAAAAGCTTTTATTTATTTTTATAATAAAAAATTATAATGTCATTCTATTCAGGTCTTATTCCTTCTGCATAGCAAACGCATTAATGACAAAACTTGTTTCATTCCATTTCCATAATCATTCCATTCTTCAATTCATTCCATTTCTACGACATTCCATTCCATTATACCAATCAGGACCGCGTGCTTTAAGGATTTTCAACCTAAAGTATTTTTTTATTGTAAAATGCAAACTAAACTACATATATACAATTATTTGCACTCTCGACTACTTTTTGGCCGTCCGATCATCTGCAAAAAAGAACACGTGTATGGTCAAGATGTGGTCGAGCGTGCAAATTGTGACTGTACATGTAGTTCATGTTGCATTTTACGACAAAAAATACTTTAGGTTGAAAATTCCAAAAACACGTTTAGTACAGATTGTAAAAAATTATTTACCCACCTTGTGCGGGCGGTATTGCCGTATAATTTAAAAGAAAAGGAATGAAAAGAACTTAGAAATTGTTATGTTATAAAAGGAAAGAAAAGGAATGAAAAGGAAAGAAAAGGAATGAAAAGAATAAAAGGGTTAATCGGTTTGTCGCCACCTTGTGCGGGCGGTATTGCCGTATAATTTAAATTAAATTTTTATTTAAAGTATGTTAGAATTTAGAAATTATTATGTTATAAATGAAAATTTATCATTTCATAGAATTTATTATTATTATGTCAGAACTTAGAAATTGTTATGTTATAAGTTAGAATTGATTATCTTATAGAATTTATTATTATTATGTTGAAACTTAGAAATTATTATGTTAGAAATTAGCATTTATTATCTAGTAGAACTTATTATTATTATGTTATGACTTAACAATAATAATGTTATAGATTATTATTATAGCAAGATGCTCTCTAAGAAAAGCTTATTATTCCTTGCATTATTGTTCCATGGAGCTCAGCTCCATAAGCTATTATTTTTCTATTACATTAGATTATTAGTTAGTAAAATTTGGGTTCCACGTTTAAAAGCGAAACCCTTGATTCTCTCCCAGCAAAATTGCCGCCTAGGTCGCCTCTTAACTTCTTCGGTTCTCTCCCAGCAGATTTCAGGGCCTGTCGGAGTTCGGCTTATCTGCTCCTCCGCGAACCGGCCTCGCCCGTCAATTTATTCCCCTTTGTCGTGTGGTCCATGGGTGCGGATCCAATTTTGGGTCTGATCCTCTAGATCTGCTTCGGGTTCATTGTGCGGGCGACGGTCGGCGAGTGGAGGAGGTCTCTGTTGCATCGGCTGATTTTGAGGAGCTTGGCATCTCTCGTGGGATTTTGGGGTTCGTTGATTTGGTTGTTTGGCCCAATCGCCGTCGTCAGCCCGGGTCTGCTGCACCGGCGGTTTGGGGTCTTATGGAGGATGGCCTTCCGCTGTCATCTTGGCGTGGCGTGGAGGTCGTCTTCTTAGTATCCATCTATCTCGGTTTCTTTTGGTGGCTTCCGGCAAGAATCTGGTCAGGCGAGTTGGTGCCGGTTCTTTGGGTTCGGGTGATGTGACTGGGACTGGAGGCATCTCATTCTCACTCCCATCTCCTCCCGAGTTTGGTGAGTCTGGCTAGATCGGTTTTTGCTGTTAGTGAATCGAATCGGCTCGGGTCTCGACTAGTGGTGTTGGCCGGGATGAGTATGAGTGTTCTCTGCGGTGGTAGTCAGGGTCGGCTTCGGGAAGGGTTTAGGGCTTGGGTCCTCGTTTTAGCTAGGCCTTGGGCAGTGGTGACCGAGGTTCCTGTGCCTTGTATTCTTCTGTTGTTGGCTTTGCTCTTTGGCGTTCCTGGATGGTCTTGCTGGGGAGGGATTACTGTTTTGTTAGTTTTGTTTTTTAGGCGTTCTTAGTTTTGTGCGTGTTTGTGTTCTTAGTTTTGTGCGTGTTTGTTTCTGTGTTGGTTGTCTTGTGCTGTTTTGGTTTATGTTTTTGGTTTGGGCCGTTGGCCCCTGTGAGCCTGCGGGTATTACTCCGTTGGGGGTCGTACTAAATTACTCCGTTTGGGGTTGTTCCACATCTCCCCGATGGGGTCGTTTTTCATTTT